GTGCCCTTCCCCAAATTTATTTCTAGGTTAAATCCCAAATAAAATTTCAGCAAATTTTTCCTGGAAAATTTTAAGATACTTTTAGAATCAGATTGAAAATTCAAATGGCCAAGAATAGTAAAAAAAAAAAAAAAAAAAAAATATTGAAAACAGAATATTTGGAGGATTTACATCATAGTAACACAAGATTTACTATAAAGCCACAGTAATGAAGGCAATGTAATATTTCTCTAACAATAGATAAATAGACCAATGGGTCAGAAAAAAAGAGTCTAGAAACCAACTGACACATATAAATAAAAAATTGATTTATGGCAAAATAGAACAGAGAGGAAAGAATGGACTCTGAATAAAATTGAACATCCACATTGAAATGCAATAAATTTGGGCTCCATCTTAAACAATACACAGGCATGAATTCCAGATATACTGTTGATTTCAATGTGAAAAGTGAAACATTTAAGTTCCCAAAGACTATGTTGAAGAATAACTTCATGATTTGGGGTAGACAAAGGTTTCTCACTCAAGATACAAAAAGCAGTAACTATATGAAAAACAATTAATACATGGAACTACACTAAAATTAAGAGCATCTCCTCATCAGAGCTACCATTTGAGAATAAAAAAAGCACAATGTGGGAGAAAACATTTGTGATCCATATTAAAAATATCCAAAGAACTAAAATCAATAAGAAAAAGAGAGATAACTCAAACACAGGCAAGAAACTGAACACACACCTCAGAAGATGGAATTTTCAATGGCCAATAAATATTTAAAAATACGCACAGCCTCACTGGTCATCAGAGAAATGTAAAATATAATCACAATGAGATACTACTCTATGCCCACCAGAGGGGCTAAAACGAAGACTGACAATCCAAGGATAAAGTTTAAAACAAAAGAAGTCTTCACACATACATAGTTGGTGGAAATATAATTGGTACAACTGTTTTGATAATATTAGCTGAAGGCAGACCTGTACGTAATCTGTGATGCAACTATTCCATTTCTAGGTAACAGAAATGGGTATATATGACAAAAGTGTTTGTGTGTGTGTGTGTGTGTGTGTGTGTGTGTGTAAGAGAGAGAGAGAGAGAGAGAGAGAGAGAGAGAGAGAGATGTTCATAGTATTGTTTTCAATAGCCACAAACTAGGAACACCTTAAATGTCTATCAAAAGAATGGATATGTAATTTGAGATGCTTAAACTGGCTTGTAAATTTGTACCATATTTGCAGAATATGAGAGCAGACATCTAGATACAAGAATAGTCAAAGAATTTGATAGTGCCCAATTAAAAGCCTTCCAATAGCGAGACAAAATGGGGAGAAGTCTCACCAAATAGTTGCATCAGTTGTGAAGAGAATATCTGTCCATAGCTCATGTTCAACTTCAGAATCGAGTTACAGGAGATGTTGCTTGAAGGGCCCCTCAGTGATCTCTGAATAATTGGGTGCTTTGGGTCAAACGGTCTCAATCCTGGGTACATGGACAGAAAGTCATCGGCAATTTGTAACTCTCTCAAAGGGAAACTTCAGCAAAGACAGGAGAATTCTCCAGAGGAAACCATGGCTTTGGATTCTCTTCTCACGTTTCTGGGTCAGGAAAAACTAAACTCTTACTTGTAAATTATTTTGAAAAATAAGTGAGGGTCTCAGGTGAGGAAGTCACCATTCAGAGAACAAGTAATAGGAGCCTAATCACCGCAGCGTAATTGGCCCATAGAGATGGTCTCTCTGAGGGAAGAGAAAGTGACTTCTTCCAAATCCCACATCTTGCCCATGTCTGCTCTTCCTGAGGGCAATGATGGCCTTCCATCCTGAAGGTAAGGCAGTTATGCTCAGAGGTGCTCCACTGGGTTCTTAGGACCAGCAGTCAGGAAACTAGGGTTTCCTTTCACACACAACTCCTTCCTTGGCTCATGTGGCAACTGGATTGAATCTGGCTACTGGAGAGATAAGTGTCTCATTTGGGCAATGGGTTTAGGGAAAACACATATTTTAATTTTATTAAAAATGTATCAATATTATTAAGTTTAAGATTTTAATTCCAATAGAGTTAACACATCATGTTATGTTATCTATAGATAATAGATCTATCTATATCTATGTTATCTATAGATAGCATAACGAAAAGATATTTTGAGTAGTCAAACTGAGGAGACAGTTCTTCCAGATACCTCTGGAAAATGCAGCACCTAGCACAGGGCTTTGGCTGCATCTGAAGGACTCAATGGGCTCAGCCACCACAGGTCATGTCCTGTGTACACACTGCACCCCTCCACACCCACCCACTCCTGGAAATCTGCACCAGCAGACAGGTTTGTGCCAACTGGCCTCCTTTTTTTTTTTTTTTTTTTTTAATGTTTTTAATTTATTTCTGAGAGAGAGACAGTGTGAGCAAGGGAGGGTCAGAGAGAGAGGGAGACACAGAATCCAAAACAGTTTCCAGGCTCTGAGCTGGCTGTCAGCACAGAGCCCGACATGGGGCTCGAACCCACAAACCGTGAGATCATGACCTGAGCCGAAGTTCGACGCCCAACTGACTGAGCCACCCAGGCGCCCCTGCCAACTGGCATTCTTAAATGATGATGGTCAGAATGTGATTTCAGCTGGACAGCTGGCTTCATACTTCCCGTTGCCCCAACAGAAACCATGCTAAGCGTGTTTCTATTTGTAATCCATACCTTCCTTTAAGGAAAGCCCTGACCTTTAAAACTCGGGCATCACTACATTTAAAAATCAAGCCCTTAAGTAATTATTAGTTTTTGAGAAGTGAAAGGCTCAAAACTCTAAGAGATTTTTATCAGATTTTAAAACAGATTCCCCTTATTTGTGTACCTGAGAATACATTAATCGTCAGCTACCTCCAGCACTGTTGTTTGTTTGTTTTTGTTATTGTTTCTTGGAGCCATCTGCTGGTCACGTGCCTTTACATGGCTTGTTGCATATAGTATAACATCTTTAGGGACTCCGCATCCACCTTCCCAGGACTAGCTCATGAAATACTATCTGTAGACGGTCAGGTTCCGTTGATGGTCCCCAGACACAGATTTTTCTTGTAAGGTCATTTGTCTGTCTCCTTTGTACCCAAGTACTTTGGCCTTGATACTTTTGTATCCCAATTTTTCCTTTTTCATTAGGGGTAAAGAGGTATGTTTCCTCCTTCTTTGGTAGAAATGTTACAAAGTGACTTGCTAACCTTTTGAAGCTCGGGAGTAAATTCTAAAGAATCAAAGAACACTTATCTCAATCAAAGAACACTTATCTCTTAGAGTGAGCATGGTTTACCAAGTTTGATTTATTCATAAAGTTTGCATTCATATGCAAATGCCCACAGACCTCTCTGCTGGCTAATCCCAGCATCTCAGGCACCCTATTTATCTGGGCTTAGCTGCATTTACTGTCATGAGTACCCTTCACACAAAGTGGGATTTTCATCACAAATGGCATTATCCAATCACAGACAGCAGTAAGCAGATAATATCTCCTTGGGACAGCTGTGCATGAGTTTGACTTTCTCTACCCAAAGGGCAGAGTAATTAGAGGGACAAAGGATGTGGGAGATTGAGCTGGTCCATGAGTTTTTTTGGAAATCACTTGTGATTTGAATAAGGTGCAAACAAGATTAATAAGAGTTCTAAAGAGAATTTCTGAATACTGGAGCCCTTGAACTTTCTGAAGTACTGATAACATCAGCAGGATTAGAGAGTTTGGAGATGTTATTGAGCAGGCTAGAGTATCACCTTCTGGTCATGTAAGTTATGGTAGATGGAGCATTAGCCCATGGAGGCAATAAGACAGTTTCCTAAGAAGAAGAAATAGTCATATATCTCAGATGAGGATAAAAGTAAGAGGAGATTAAAAGAAAAGATAACCAACAGTCTTTTCACTGAATTCATTCTGGTTAATTATGTTCCATCAGAGATAGACTCCAAACCACAGCTATCACTGCCCAGGACACATATGGACTCAGTGGAATGTGCAGCCAGTGTTCCATGATTTCTTAGCTAATAGGCAAATAGGTGTGGCAAGTATTTGAGTGCCTATCATTTCTAAGGGAAGCTTTTTAATGCGTCTTTGACTTTGATTTGTTTCTTCCCAGTCATACCTGTGCTGTGCTTCTCTTCCAAAGGAGGAGGAAAAGAACACTGCCGATTCTTTCCTCTTACCCTCTAACAGAAACAAGACAAGCAGATGAAGACTTTTCAAAACAGATGCTGATCACCCAAGGCTTTAACTCTTTATTTCACTGACTCTGAAATGTAACGTTTACTACCTTCTAACTTGCAACCTAAAATTTCTGATTTTAAAAGGATGAAAACTGAGTATTTCATTTGCATAGATACTCTAGAAGTAAAATGGTAAATTGGAAACAACAGTTAATGCCTGTTAGACTCCATTCAGTATGGCTTTTGAGGTAATAAAGAGGGGAATACTGGTATCCTATGAAGAATTAAACAAACTCCATGTTTAGGAACTGGTCCTAAGAAAGAGAAGGATGTTTTCATTAATCTTTTTAACTCAAATGTCTATTTTAGTAAAACCTTTCCTATTTAAGGGAGGAGAGGAGGGGCGCCTGGGTGGCTTAGTCGGTTAAGCGTCCGACTTTCGCTCGGGTCGTGATCTCGCGGTTCGTGGGTTCGAGCCCCGCGTCGGGCTCTGTGCTGACTGCCAGCTCAGAGCCTGGAGCCTGTTTCAGTCTGTGACTCCCTCTCTCTCTGACCCTCCCCTGCTCACGCTGTCTCTCTCTCTCCTAGAAATAAATAAAAATATTAAAAAAAAAAAAAAAAGGGAGGAGAGGAGAGTTCTCCTTCCTTGAATTGACCATATCAATGGGTTCTATTGTGGTCCCAAACCCTGAAGGAGAAATGTAATCTGGGAAAGCACACACCTCAGTGTGAGATGGCTTCTTGGTCTGAATGACCTCCTCGGCCCCTCCGCCACCTTAAGTATCTGGTATCTATTGATTTACAACTTGGATTTGGTCCTCAGAGGCTCATGGGCAGAGAAAACCAGACATGGAAGAGTGAGTTCATTCTGCTGGGGCTGTCCAGCCGCTGGGACACTCAGGTCTCCCTCTTTGTCCTTTTCCCGGTCATGTATCTGGTGACCGTGCTGGGGAGCTCCCTCCTCCTCCTCCTCCTCATCAGACTGGACAGCAGGCTACACATGCCTATGTACTTTTTCCTCAGTGTCCTGTCCTGTGTGGACATCTGTTATACCAACAGCACCGTCCCACAGCTCCTGGTTCACTTCCTGTCAGCCCGGAAGTCCATCCCATTCCACAGCTGTGTGCTCCAGCTGTTAATCTCCCTGGCCCTGGGCAGCTCCGAGTTCTTCCTGCTGGGAGCCATGGCCTACGACCGCTCTGTGGCGGTGTGCCGCCCGCTGCACTACACGGTCATCATGCATGGGGGGCTCTGCCTGGGGCTGGCTGCTGGCTGCTTGGGGGCTGGCTTCATGAATTCATTGATGCAGACAATTATCATCTTCCAGCTACCTTGGTGCCGTAATGTTATCAATCACTTTGCCTGTGAGATGTTGGCTGTGCTGAGGCTGACCTGTGTGGACATCTCCTTCAACAAGGTCACGGTGGCCATCTCAGGATTTCTGGTGATCATGCTTCCCTGCTTCCTGGTTCTGTTCTCCTACGTTCGTATAGCTGCTGCCTTTCTGCACATCCGCTCTGCCCAGGGACGCTGCAAGGCTTTTGAGACCTGCGCCTCCCACCTCACCGTGGTCTCCATGTGCTTCGGAACAGCCATCTTCACATACTTGAGACCCACTGCTGGCTCCTCGGCAGAGCAAGAGAAGATGGTTGCCCTGTTCTATGCTGTGGTGACCCCAATGCTGAATCCCTTAATCTACAGCCTGAGGAACAAGGAGGTAATGAACGCCCTGAGAAGACTGTTGGGAAAACTTAGTGCAAAAAGGTGAAGAGTCAAAGAACTCTTCCTTCCTTCCAATAGCCTGAAGGAGGACATTTCAAACGAAGAGGAAATGGTTGACATGCCCTTTTCTCCAGATTTGCTCATAAGGTAGATCAAGGTGAGCACAGTCTTGAAGACTGACTTTTCACATTAGTCCACATTTTGACTATGTATTAATGCCCTATTATACGTACAGTAAAAAAAAAAAAAAAAAAGCTTCCAGTTATTAAGTTGGGGTCTGCTGGGTTAGCAGTCTTTCCACAGTTCACACTTTTCCTACACTTTTCTTATTTCTCCTGTACATGCCTCGAGGAAATGCAGTGTGGACAATGAAAAGTCTCAGAACGAGAACAGCCACGGCTCACATCCTGACCCACCCCTCACCAGCACTGTGGCTTTGACAAATATGTTTAATATCTCTGACCTCCAGTTTCCTCAATCATAAAAAGAAGGAATAACATTCAATATGTGTGATTATTTTGGAGATTATAAACACTCTATGTAAAATACTTGGTAGGGGAGTGGTATAGATATTTAACTATTTAAAAAAAAATTTTAGTGTTTATCTTTGAGAGAGAGAGAGAACAGGAAGAGGCAGAGAGAGAGAGGGAAACACAGAATCTGAAGCAGGCTCCAGGCTCTGAGCTGTCAGCACAGAGCCTGGCATGGGGCTCCAACTTGTGAACCGCTAGACCTTGACTTGAGCCAAAGTTGGACGCTTAACCGACTGAGCTACTCAGGTGCTCCTCAACTATGTTTTTTAATGTTTATTTATTTTGAGAAAGAGCTCACACACAAGCAGGGGAGGGGCAGAGAGAGAAGAGAGAGAATCCTAACAGGCTCCGCACTGTCAAGTGTCAGCACAGAGCCTGGTGTGGGGCTTGATTTCATGAACTGCTAGATCATGACCCGAGGTGGAATCAAGAGTTGGACCTTAACTGACTGAGCCACCCAGGAGTGCTGTCATTCAACTATTTTTTAAAATAGTTTTTAGGACAAAATTTTAGGGCTAAGCATTATGCAAACTTCTCTCCATATGTAATTATACAAAATGAACTTTTCCTATTGTATGGTTCTAGTAAGTCCTGGTCTGCTCCAGGTGATCATCTTACCCAGAACCATGGCATCTATCTATAGATCTCTCTGTCCCAATCTCTGATCTCTCAATCTCTCAGCCATTCATCTCTTATATATATTTTTAGCTCCAAGGCAGGCAAAACCTTTCTCAGGAGCTTCAAACACATGTATCCAATGGCTTGCTTAACACTTTCAATTACATCACATGAGTTGCATTCTTAACATAGATAAAGTAGAATGTGCTTGGTATGTCTTTGAAGTCTCTTTAATCTATAAGTTCTGCCCAACTCTTTGTTTATCCTGCAATTTACTTGAGTGGCCCAGGCCATTTGACCTGCAGAAGGCATCTTTTCTTAGAAAATAAATCTGGTCATAGCTTTATCCTCCTTAGAATAAAGTCCCGCTTCGTACACGTGGGGCCTGATGTGGTCCAGCTGCAGCAGCAGAGATAATTAGTTTATAATATTCCTCAGTAGCTGGATCATTATCACCTGCACACGGACCCTTTTATTAATTGTTAAAAATTATTTCTTGGCAGCCACTATGGAATAACAGTATGGAAGTTCCTAAAAAATTTAAAAATAGAACTACCATATGATCCAATAATTCTACTACTGGGTATTTACCCAAAGAATATGAAAACACTAATTTGAAAAGATATAAGCACCCCCGTGTTTATTGCAACATCATTTACAATAGTCAAATTATGGAAGCAGTCCACTGTCCACTGTCCACTGATAGAAGAATGGATAAAGAAGACGTGGCGTATAGATATATACAATGGAATATTACTCAGTCATAAAAAGTAATGAGATCTTGCCATTTGCAGCAACACTGATAGATCCAGAGGGCGTAATGCTAAGTGAAATAAGTCAGAGAAAGACAAATAACATATGATTTCACTCATATGTGAAATTTAAGAAATAAAGAAAGAAAAGAGAGACAAACCAAAAAAACCAGACTCAACTATAGAGAAGAAACAGATAGTTACCAAGGGGGAGGTGGGTGGAGGATGGGTGAAACAGGTGAATGGGATTAAGAAAACACTCAGCATGATGAGCACTAAGGATGATGTATGGAACTGGTGAATCGCTCTGTTGTACACCTGAAACTAATATGACACTGTTAATGATACTGAATTTAAAATTTAAAAATTAATGATCTTTTGTCTTATTTTTTATTTCTTCCTTGCTGTGTGGACAACTCTTCTAATATGTTTAATGTTTGAGAGTATATTTATGTTGTTTTTTAAAATGCTATGTATTTTTGACTACTTATGTTGTGTCTTCATGTTTTTCACTCACCACTATATTTTGAAGATCCATACATATTGCTAGTCGATGACTTCTAATGGTTCATAGTGATCCATAGTAAACCATATTCTAGCTGTTTCTCTGTTATGGCACCCAACTGCCCACCATCACATACAGCCCTCTGATAAACATCATGATAACGCACACTTAATGAGCTGTGTGAGAATTTATTTGGGAATATTCGCAGGAACCAACGTGCGAGGTTATAGGTAATGCTCACCAGAATGGCTTTGTAAGTCTCTACTCCTACTTCAGTGCCTGAGGGTTCTTCTCTATCTACAGCCTGCATGTTTTGAATTTTTCTAGCTTGAAAGATACAAAATTATTTTCTTTTTCATTACTCTGATAAGTAATCCATATGACTATGTCTCCATACATGGACTCTTGATTTCCATGTATCTTCACCCCATTCTGTTCTATCCATGGCTTCCCGACCTCATGAAGTTCATGCTAACTCCATCATTACAGTGGTTAGACCATCTACCACTCTCTTTTTTCTCATATCTGATTCAAATCTGGAAGAATATCTTGTTGTCTCTACATTCAAAATATATACAGAATATAATCACTTATCATCTCTACTCCTGTACCCTGATGTGAGCCATTATCATCTCCCACTTGCGTTACTACAATAGCCTGCAGCGTACTTCTCTGTGACAACCCCTATCTCCCAGCACTCGGAGTGATCCCTTTGAAACAAAAGTCAAATGATGCCATTCATCTTTTCAGCCTACAATTACTCAGAATAAGCCGTGAAGTGTTTACAATGAAAACAGGCCTGTTCTCAACTATACTCTGCCTGGAATGCTCTTTACTCACGGCCGCTTCCTCACCCCTCCTAATTCTTCATTCGACTGTCATTACTGACCCATTCAATATACAAACTTTCTTTGCGCCCCCACTCCTGTTCCCTCCTGAGAGCAGCATTCTTTGTTTTGTTCATTTACATATACCAAATGTCTAGAATAGTGTCTGTCTCCTAGTGGGCACATAATAAATATTTTCTGAGTGAATAATATTATCCACCTTTTGGGTTTCCATTGCTGTACGCTGAGCATTCATTTCCTTTGGGTCTTTTGCCATTTCCTTGTTGATGTGTATATTATAAATATTAGTCCTTTCTGTTATAACCATCGCAAATACATAGCTCCAAGCTGTCGTCTCTCTGTTAACTTTACTCATGGAGTCATTTGTTGAACAGAAAGCCTTTTTTGATATAATCTGATTCATCCAATTTTTGTTCTATGACTTATACTTAGGAAGGTTTCCCCGCAAGCATTCCTGCATCAGGGTCATAAAATATTCTATTTTCCTATTTAATGAAGTTGTCTACTTTTACCATTCACAGTTATTTCCTTAGTTTATGTGAAGTTTTCTTTTCCATATGTTGTCAAATATGGATCTGGTGGGTTTTCTTCCATGTTGTGGTCCACTTATCAAATAGTCTGTTCTTACTCATCTGTCTTCAGTAACTTTAATGTATTATGTACAGATCTGTTTTTGAACTCTATTCTTTTTCTTTTGTTCATTTGTTTGCACCCTCAGCATACAATTCTATCATTCTATTACTAGAAGTCTTCTTGGTTTGTAGTAAGTCATCATTTGTCATGTGCAGTTTATCAAATAAGATGGGCAAACACATCTTCTTCAAAGTTATTAAATATGTAATCAAAATAGCTAGTCTATGTATATTTATTTATAGTCCATCTATAAATAGTCATCTATTTACAGAATAATGTATTTCATATAAATTTTTGTGTAATTTTATTAAGTTCCCCAAAAGGTCCATCTAAAATTTTGATTAGGTTTGCACTGAATATGTAGATTAATTTAGAGCATTGACATCTTTATAATATTAAGCTTTGGAGTTGTTCTGATAATCATAAATCTCCTACTTAAAGTTTCAATATTTTCTCCACATTCACTTAGCAGATATCTGTTACATGCATGTTATAGAGCAGATGCTCTTCCAAGTATGGTGGGTACAACAGTGAAACTCAGAAGTGTCTGTCTTCATGGAGATTACATTCTACGTAAGGGAAATACATAATAAATATAAGAAACAATATGTAGTATATTATAGGTATTAACTGCTCTAGAGGAAAATAAAATAGGAAGAGTGGATGATGAATATTGAAAGGACTGAAAGTTTTGGCAAAGCGCTCGTAGAAATCGTGCATACGCCGATGAGAACTTCCAAATACTGTATAACTTAAGTTGCTATTATAAATGGCATTTTCTTTCCTTTCTCTCTTTTTTTTACATTTTATTTATTTCTAGGAGAGAGAGAGAGAGACAGCGTGAGCAGGGGAGGGTCAGAGAGAGAGGGAGTCACAGACTGAAACAGGCTCCAGGCTCCGAGCTGGCAGTCAGCACAGAGCCCGACGCGGGGCTCGAACCCACCAACCGCGAGATCATGACCTAAGCGAAAGTCGGACGCTTAACCGACTAAGCCACCCAGGCGCCCCTCTTTCCTTTCTCTTATTGGTTATTGCTGGCGTACAGAAATGCTGTTGATTTCTGTGAGGTGGCCTGGTATGTAGTTCTTTCTTATTAAGGTTCATTGTTGAAAAATGTTTTTTCTAGGCATATAATATCATTTGTAAATAGCGATTAT